AAAATCAAAATATTCTAGAAGTCATCAGGGCATGTCGTCGTCACTTGGGCAGCCGGTTGATCTGGCCGGGGGTTCGCATCCGCTGTAACAGCTCGAGTTCATATAATTCTTTCACTAACGACATCGCTTGTCACACAGTTGAAATTGATCTAGCCCAGGGTATGGAAAAATCAAAATATTCTATAAGTCATCAGGAGCATGTCTGTCGCCCCTTGGGGGGAAGAACAGAACTTCTTCTCCTCTGTAATCAAGGAGAAGTTCCCAAGCTGTTCGTGTAGTAAGTTAGGTTGTGTTATATTATATTGCTTGCTACAGAATGATTATTTAACTACTAATTTATTTGCACCTATAAATAAACTACTCTTCCCCTTATTCAGTTAAATACTATAATTTAGTCTACAGGCTTCCCCTTTATCTACTTGGTTGGGTTATCCTACTGTAATCAAGACCCCTTCTCAGATGTGCTGAAGGAGCGAACATCTCTGCTCCGCCCTGGCCGCTCTATCGGAGGGCGGCAGACAAAGGGCGGAGCCACAGAGCAGACGTGTAAGCTACTCGACCCACTTAAAGTGGGTCGATCTACTAGCGGAAGTGCCGTCGTCATGGCGGCACAATCCCGGCCAAAAAGAATTTAATAAAGGAAAAGCCTGCGAGAACAAAAAAAAAGAAAAAGAGACCGCTTAGCAGCTTAGAACAAAATACCGGGGCGGGAACGGGGAAGATGAGTATGGGCAAGGCCAACAAGACCCAGAGAACAAACAAAAAACCCGATAATAAGTGAAATATCGAAAGGAATCCGGCTTCGGGAAATGAGCAAGATGGGCGGATGGCAACGACGCGAGCGGTGGTGGCGAAAAGGCTACTTGGAAGGGAAGGCAACGAGCGGCACGAAGGTCTACGACCGATGGTCCAGCGAAGGCCTACGGATGAATAACGCTACTGATGGGATAGACTACTAGAGAACACGACTGATGGCTGACTACTGCATGGGAATGCTGCTGGGAATGCTACTGGGCCAGAGCCTAATACTCCTGGCGGCGCTCCTCGCGGCGATCGACCCGCCGGCGGCGCAGCTGGCCGACGCCTTCGCCTTCTACTGCTACTACGACATTTGGCTTTTCTAGGAAGCAACTACTCCTCCTACAATCGCGGAAACGGTCGATAAATCTTGGAAACGCCGAGGGTGTGATTACGACTAGCTTCTTGGGCTACTTAGGCTCGTGCTGCTCCTGGCACCGTTTGTCTCGCTACTTAGGCTCGTGGCAGCCGCTTCTTCGGAAATACTGGATCGCTCGCTACGAGGAGAAATGGCTACTTCGACGAGATTGTCAACGAGATGATTATCGACATAATGGCCTACTAGTGGATTCGGGGTCAGGGTGATCGCTCTCAGGCTGTAATTCAAGCCAAAGGGAGGGCGAGGGCAGACGGGACGAATATGCTGTGTTGCAGACTCGTGCCGTGGATCTAGGTTTTGGATAAGCAGATTCCGTCTATGCGAATGTATAAAGTCTACTAGCGTACGCGCGTCCAGCAGAAGCTGAATGACGGGATCATTGCGCTCGCATGCTAAAGGTGACAGGGAACTAAAGGCTCCGATTGCTTCGATCGCCTTATTTGAGAGAATCAAGCGATGGATGGCAAACCGAAGCTGATCCTCCGCGTCCTCCAGTATTGCCTGACGCTCACGGAAATAAGGGTGCCAGGCCGTACCATCTCACGGACTAGAGTCAATAACGGCGGCATGGACTTTCCTGATAACTTCGGCGACTGAGTCAAGCACGACCTGGAAATTGTGATGAAATGCCGCCATGAGCAAATCCGGCGCCAAGTGGTCAGCAGGAGCACTGGAACTCGGCGGGTTCGGTGGCAGGGAGCCCACCGGCGGCATATCGCCCCTACTGAGGTGCATGCGGGAATTTTGGGATTCAAGATTAACTCTACTGTTGCTTATTTGCACCCGCAGCTCGGAAGACGCCAAATAGCTTCTTAGATTCGAGAGAGGGGTCAAAAACAAGCGTGGGAGAGTCCTCAACAGATGGAGAGGTGGCATTTTGACTGGATAAACTACTTTGGGACATATCTACTGCGATGACTGTTCCTGTAAGCGAATCTACTGCGCTCTGCAGAGCAAAATGACAGGAATCGAGGATTACTTGTGCTTCTTTGTAAAAAACTCCCAAAGGAAGTCCAGAGAAGTTGGGAAGCTTACCGAGTTGAACAGGAAGGCTGCTTAGAAGGTTTTCCAAGGCAGTCTTAGCTACCAGGAACTCAGACTCTAAATTAGCAGTCTTGGATTCGACCTCGGAATCCATAGCTGCCGGAAAATTCGGCACAGAGAAGAACACGCGCGGAGAAAAAGGAATAGGTAAGAGCAGCGGAACAGTCCGGCGAGGAGAGGGGAAGGGCATAGAAATGGCTGGCGGAATGGGCCCCCGGTGATTTCATCGCGCCCTCCATCCATTAGTCGAGGGGACGCCCGCCCGCTGCCGAGCGCGGGGCGAAGCGCTTGAGTCATCAGATGTGGCCAAAAAGCGGGGAATTACGAGCAGAAGAAGGAGAGAAAATAAAAAAAAAGAAAATTTACTTAGAATATATGGAGGAATAACTATGCAAATTACGTTGAGACTACTTGGGAGTTCTACGGCGAGGTGAACTTACATGCTCGTGCTCCTCGTGCGCGAAATTCCAGGATGGCTATCGTAGGAGCACAGGGAAGAAAAGCTAGCCGTGGAGCTCGTGGTTTCGAGGCTCCATCGCCTTCGAGCCGACCAAACCGAGGACCGAATAGGCGGTGCGTCGAGATTACTCGACAACCAGCTGTATAAAGAACTGGAGGGGCTGGAAGAAGAGCTACGGTGGCTGCTTCGAGGCTCGCCAGAGGAAAAACTACGCCTTGATGCATCAGAACTGGAAAGACTACGAGATCGCGGACGTCTTCGTGGCTGCGCGTCGCCTACTAGCGCCTCGTGGTCGCACCGATACCGACACAACGATTCTGTCAAGCGGATGGTATCGTCTAAATGTTCGGAAAAGATATCCATCCGGGCCCGCGGGCCTTGGTTTGGAAATGGCGCCGCCATGACGTCGGGGGCTACTACTTGAAGGCCTACGACCGCGTTCAAAAGACGGTCAACTACTTGCCGAAGGCGCTCTTCGGCGTCCTCAAGGGCAAATCGAAGGCCGAGTCCGAGCGGCATCCAGGGAAGCGATGCGTAATTGTCTACGTCGAGGCTGCTGACTATTTCAGAAATCCCGCCCGTGGCCTCATTCAACAGATGCCCAGGGTGGGCTGGTCCGTGAAAGGAATCCATCTTGAGGACGATGGGCGTGGAAGAGAAAGAATTTGGATGATGATCAAAGGAAAAAAAAGCAAGGCAAGGTATTGTCAAGAAGCGATGATCGGTAAGGTGAGGAAAGGAAGGGTTGGGCCGGGGGCGAGGGGAGGGGGCGAGCTGAATCGGCGGACGATTTGATCGGCCCCTCCATTAGGCATTGGCTAGGCCCCAACTCAGGGCAGGCAAAAGAGTGCCTTGGCTACTGCCACCAAAAACGGGGGAATGCAACACAAAAAGGAAAGGGAGACTACTGTGATCGCAAGATGCTACGGCTGGAAGCCTTACAGTGATTATGAAAGCTATGAAAGCTTAATCGCTGTCGCAAGAGTAAGAGTAGGAGGAATATGAATCCGGATCGGGGCTACTAGAGCTGCTAGAAGCCTCACGCATCAAGGGAGATGATGATGAGGAGGAGTTGGAGGGTGGTGTATTTTCTTGAGAAGAGCTTGACAGTGAATCGACTTCGTGGCTCGAGTCGTCGCTTTGCTCAACTACTGGAGAGGCGGAAGACTTACGGATGGCCGCTCTAGCCAACTCGTGGCGCTTGGCCTCGATTTTTTCTACTAGGTCGAACTCGTCCCGCAGGAGATCGCGAGCGACAACGGGTGAATGGGTGAGACGCGGGGCGTCATCGGAGTTCGTAATTGGCGAAGCCGCAGTCGCCAAGGTGCGGCGCGCGTCAAAATACTTATCTACTGCATCATACAGTTTCGTTTGGCATCGTTCTAGGACGGCTTTACCATATGTGTAAAACGTATCCGCATCCACACTTCCATCATGATTGAGATGGTCTACTTCATGCTCAACGTCTTGAATAACGTCGTGTAAGTTTGAGAAAGCTAAGTTCAGCTCTTCCTGTAGGGCTGAATACAAAAGCTGAGGATCCAAATCCATGCTTGATATTATCCGGATAGTCCTCAATGAATAACAAAGGCTAACCGAAATAAACCGTAATTAATTGGAGGGAAGGGAGAAACGAAAACGAACCAGTTGGCGTCGTCGAGGTTGCGGAATATCCGATGGGTCCCTGGCAGCCGGGATGGAAATACCTGAAAGCGGGGGTGGCTACGGCTCGCGAGAGCGAGCGGGGATGTGACATCCATGCAGATGGGCTTCCATTAGCCGAAAAGAGGGGCCGCCGAGGTGGCGAAAGCATTAAGTGATTGGTCTCTTCTCTACTGTACGATTTCAAAATTGACGAACCGATTTCAAAAGTCGGCTGTCGGCTGTACAATTGGAAAGAAGAAAGGGCTGGAAGAGAAGAGAAAAAGAAACATGGGAAGTGGGGACATAGGTGGCATGATTTACGAAATTTTGTGAAGAAAGGGGTACTGTAGAATGGCGAACGGGCTACTATAAGAAGGAAAGAGATAGAAAGACAGGAAGAGAAAATAGGGGAAAGAGAGAGAAAGAGGGAACAGAAATTTGACTAAAAAAGGTTGAAAAGAAGGTTGTCAAAACGGGAAATGCTAATCAGATGGAAGGATGGGAATCAGCACGCCCTGGTGGGGCCCAAATGAGCAGCGCCTGCGGAGTGTGAACAAGGTGGATGGCCCATTTTAGGACTGTAGTGCAGATCCCTGGTACAGTCAGTATGTAAGGCAGCAGAAGTTGTATCGGCGGGCGCCTCCTTTTTTCTGAGACCAATACAACCCCGGGTTGTCCGGTCATTCATGCCGACCCGCGACTTGGCGGTCGGGTTGTCAGGAGCCGACCCAGACCCATGGCCTATGGGTTGCTGCTACTACTAGTGATTACTGAGACTTTGTCCGAGGAGTGCATGAGGGGATGGCACCGGAAAAGAAGCTGGTTCCCCAAATTCCAACGAGGAAAAAAATGCCCAAAGTTCCGAAACTGCCACTTCAGAAATGAGAACATGGAAAAGATGAAAGAAAATAAATGAAAAGAAATGAGGCGAGATAGAAAGGCAAAATAAATAGGAACACAAAGGGAATAAATAAATCTACTGAAATGAAAAGTTGACTACTCGAACAGGTGGGTAAGAGGGTAACTCGGGCTCAATGGTTTCCCGGACGGTGCACCATGTCTGTCGCCTTATGGGGAGAACAGAACTTCTTCTCCTCTGTAATCGAGGAGAAGTTCCCAAGCTATTCGTGTAGCAGGTTGGGTTGTGTTATATTATATTGCTTGCTACAGAATGATTATTTAACTACTAATTTATTTGCACCTATAAATAAACTACTCTTCCCCTTATTCAGTTAAATACTATAATTTAGTCTACAGGCTTCCCCTTTATCTACTTGGTTGGGTTATCCTACTGTAATCAAGGCCAACTAGATGTGCTGAAGGAGCCCAGGCATCTCTGCTCACGCCCTGGTGCACATATCATGTATGATGTTCTGTGGACCCCGGGCCCATCCGCTGTAACAGCTCGAGTTCATATAATTCTTTCACCTAACGAGCGATCCTTGTCACACAGTTAGTTGATCTAGCAGGGTATGGAAAAATCAAAATATACAGAAGTCATCAAAGGAGCATGTCCTCGACCGTCACTTGGGCAACCGGTTGATCTGGTTGGGGGGTTCGCATCCGCTGTAACAGCTCGAGTTCATATAATTCTTTTTCACTAACGACATCCCTTGCCAGTCCGGTTACAATGATCTAGCGGGGGTATGGAAAAATCAAAAATATTCTTGAAGTCATCAGGAGCATGTCGTCGTCACTTGGGCAACCGGTTGATCTGGACGGGGGTTCGCATCCGCTGTAACAGCTCGAGTTCATATAATTCTTTCA